TGCTGGATGGGCTGCCTCTGCTGGTTGGGCTGACTCTGCTGGTTGGGCTGACTCTTTGCTGGACGAGCTGTCTCTTTGCTGGTTGAGCTGTCTCTTTGCTGGATGGGCTGTCTCATTGCTGGTTGAGCTGTCTCTTTGCTGAATGGGCTGTCACTTTGCTGGTTGAGCTGTCTCGTTGCTGGACGGGCTGTCTCTTTGCTGGTTGAGCTGTCTCCTTGCTGGACGGGCTGTCTCTTTGCTGGACGAGTTGTCTCTTTGCTGGACGAGCTGTCTCTTTGCTGGATGGGCTGTCTCATTGCTGGTTGAGCTGTCTCTTTGCTGAATGGGCTGTCACTTTGCTGGTTGAGCTGTCTCCTTGCTGGACAGGCTGTCTCATTGCTGGTTGAGCTGTCTCTTTGCTGGACAGGCTGTCTCTTTGCTGGTTTAGCTGTCTCCTTGCTGCATGAGCTGTCTCTTTGCTGGACGGGGCTGTCTCTTTGCTCAGTTGAGTCCAGCAGAGAGACATCCCAATCCAGCAAAGAGACAGATCAGTCCAAGAAGGGACATCCCCATCCACCAAAGAGACTTTCCTGTCCAGCAAAGAGACATCAAGTCTCTTTCTTGATGGGGATGTCTATTTGCTAGATGGGGATGTCTCTTTGCTATATGGGAATGTCTCTTTGCTGGATGGGGATGTCTCTTTGCTGGATTGGGTCATCTCTTTGAATATATAGGGGGCACTGTGATTAGATTTCTAGGGGCACTGTGATATAAAGGGGACAGCACTGTAAAGGGGCACTGTAATCAATACATTGCCCCTTTACAGTGCATTCCCCTTTATATTACAGTGCGGAGGACCGACTACATAAATATTCCATCACCAACTTCTTGCACCCACCCCACCCAGGCCTATTTTTGTCCCAGTCCAGGCCTGGTGTACACTGCATAAAAGTGCAGCCTGTGTGCATTTGTACGCAGCCCAATTCACTGGACCGCATGTCAATATACTGCAACGTAACGTGCATAGAGTTGAATGAAGGGTCATTTAGTGACACTTCAATAAAGTAAAAAAAAAAACAAGTAAATGGAGTAATGCCATGTGTCAATGCAGCTTCAACTTTGTTTACATCACTATACTGTTGGATTGTTATAGTTATGGCAGCGGCAGTAAAAGTGTTGAACCCGTCACCTCAAAAACTCTGTTTGCAGGTTGTAGTTTTTGGTGGAAAAAACACACAAACTCATCATATTTGTAACTTGGAGTGCTCTGGTTAACATAAAAATAAAAAGTACCTCCGCCCTTTCCCATACCAACTTTGATATTCCCCTTCTCGGTTTGGTGTTCTCACAGCTACTACAGGAAGAAATGCTTTCTCATGGATATTATTTTTACAGAACAGAATAGAGGAATTACATTTTGTTCTCAGTTTTTAGCATAAAGAAATTCCCTACCTAAGTTAAAAAAATAAATCCTAGTGTATCGTTTAGTTTTTGGTAAAGAGGGAAGTGTTTGTTTTTATTGTTGTCTTTGTCCCCATTGGAGGGATTCGCCACGCTACCTATGCAGGTGACCACTGTCTCTGAGAAAGAAAGTGAGGGGAAATCCAAAATTTTAGAGTTGTCCCCAGAACAAAAGTTAAGGAAAATGTTCCCCCGACATTTCATATACCTGATATGTGCTTGCTGTACCATGCACTTGTGTTAAAAAGTATCCTGTTCTTTTTATAGATCAGTGTCTGCTGTTTCTCCACCCCAAGCTCTCTAAAGCTCTGTTCACACCTATGCAGTTTGCTTTTTGTCCATTTTGCAGTGCTTTTTTCAGTTCATTGTGCAATTTTCTAAATGCAGTTTTTATGCATTTTTGCCGCCTTTAGCGTTTTTGTTCAGCTTTTTTTTTTTAAAGTGGAATTTTTTTTTTCCTGGGCAGAATAAAAATGCAAAACGTGGCAAAAACGCAGCAAAAACACACTACCCCACATTTCAGCAAATTCTCCATTAAACTCTATTGTAGCAAACACGCTGCTTTTTGCTTTTAAAAAAAGTCCCTGACCCTTTCCAAAAACGCAGCAGCTCAAAAAGGCATAGATGTGAACATGTTCCATAGGAAACCATGATAAATGGACTGTAGTGCGTTTCTGCAAAAAGCACTATAAAATGCATTGGTGTGAACAGAGCCTAAGTCCCTTATGCAACTGAAAACAGATTATGTGATCACTTGTATAAAAAAGGGAAAACAGATATTATGTTTTTTTTATATCTATACACAAATGTTTTGTCTTTCATTTCTTTTTTAAACTGAGTTGTTTTTTTTTTATATGTGAGGGTTCACATACTTAAAAGGAAATATATGATGGGCACAACCCCCTAATAGGGTTATTCCCCTCTCAATCAGAGATTTCCTGTTGCTTCTCAGGGACAGGAAGTGAAAGGAAATTTTCCCAATGGTACAAAGACAGAAAGAAAATAACATTAGGCAGAGGTTGTAACCCTTCCCTACACTTTCCCAGCAAAAATGTTTTGGCTATACATAAACTTTAATGATGCATGTAGAGGTCTTATATATCTATGTCCTCAAAAGAAAGTATTTTCCCCAAAGTAAAGTACTTGCAATAACTTTTTACATGTAAAAGAAAAAAAATTTTATGTAGATAATCTTATCAAAGCATGTTAATTTTTAAAAAGGTCTTGAAGACATTTTTAAATATTCAGCTATGTTATAATATTGCAGTCTTTCTTATAATAGATTTATGTTGGTTTTTTTTTTCAGCTTTATTGGATGTAGACTGGAGCTGAGAAGTCCACTGAGGTCTGATATTTGCTGTATTATTACAAGTCTGATTATTTGCTGTATTTTGTTGTATTATGCGGATATGACTAGTTGATTCCCACATGCCAATGTGTATAACAGAGTGGAGGAATGTACAGTAGCATAGTCTTTAAAATTGCCTCCTATTTGAATTCAGGCAGGCTTAACCCATTGGCTTGTATAGAGAGAGAGCAGATTTGTGTATGTGCCATTGATGCCATTACTTGCCCATCAGTTGCAGTTTTCATAATTTATATATTTTTTTTTTAATGAGAGTAACATTTAAAAACACATTACTAATAAAACCCAGCTCTATCTTAAAGCGTTTCTAAAGACTGAAGGTTTTTTACCTTCATGCATTCTATGCATGAAGGTAAAAAGTGGATTTTTTTCTACATGTACCTGTAAACTCCATTTCTTGAAGTACATCACGGGACACAGAGCAGGCTATTCATGACTATGTAGGTTATAGGCCACCTATAGGTGAATGGACACTGGCCGACCAATCAGAGAGGAGGTCCTCCCCTATATAACCCCCTCCTATTCAGGAAATACTTCAGTTTTTGTAGCAAGCAATGAAAATTCTGGAAAGAGGGACGTGACCTCTGTGTCCCCTGATGTACTCCAAGAAATGGATTTTACAGGTATGTAGAAAAAAATCCAATTTTCTTTATCATACATCATGGGACACAGAACATGCTATTCATGACTACAGTATGTGGGATGCCCCAAAGCAAGAAATTGAAGGGAGGCTGACACCATGATAGCCACCATCCATAATCCCTCAGAAACTACTCAGCCATCAGTAAAACACTGTGACCAAAGGCTCTGACAACCAACTGGCATAACCTTGTGAATGTGTGAACTGAAGACCATGTAGCGGCCTTGCAAACCTGAGCCACTGATGCCATGGTGGTGTCAGGGCTCCCGGGTGTGACCAGAGGTGTGTGACTGACGCAGGGAAACGCAGACTTCAGATATGTTATAAACAATGTAATTTATTAACACTAACAATACAAACATAAACGCAGTGCAATACTAAAACATAACACAGTGCAAACAAACCAACCAACCACCCACAGATAACCGTACATACAATGCAAGCGTCGTCAGGCAGGCCGGGTCAATATCATTCGGGCAGGTAGGTACAGGGGGAGCAAGCGGAGAATGGTCGGGGTCACAAGCCAGGTTTAGCAGGTAGCGGGCAGCGTGGTACAGAGGGTCAGGCAGAGGAGAATGGTCAGACAAGCCAGGGATCAGAGCAGGGTCAGCAGAGAATCAGACAGGAACAGGAAACAGGGCCCAGGAGAAACACAACACCAAGGCAGAGTCTGCAGGTCTGAATGTCCCTTAAATACACCAGTATAATTAGTTCCAGGTGTTTGACTGGCTGCAAGGTTGAGTCTCTGATTGCTGGGAGCACCCACTGGCCAGCCCTGGTACTGCAGCTCATAAGGCAGGGGAGTCCCACTATTGCTGGCCAGTCCATTCCTGACAGTACCCCCCCCCCCTCAAGGAGTGGCCTCAGGACGCTCCAAACAGTCCTAGCTGGGCAAAATGTTCCACCGCCCGGGTCTGGTAACTGGCGGGATATCAAGACTGGCACACACGGGCAGGACTCCGGCAGCGGCACACCGGGCAGGGGCACACCGGGCAGAGGCACACCGGGCAGAGGCACATCGGGCTGGTCTCCGGGCAGAGGCACATCGGGCTGGACTCCGGGCAGAGGCACATCGGGCTGGACTCCGGGCAGAGGCACATCGGGCTGGACTCCGGGCAGAGGCACATCGGGCTGGACTCCGGGCAGAGGAACATCGGGCTGGACTCCGGGCAGAGGCACTCCGGGCAGAGGCACACCGGGCAGAGGCACACCGGGCAGAGGCACATCGGGCTGGACTCCGGGCAGAGGCACATCGAGCTGGACTCCGGGCAGAGGCACATCGGGCTGGACTCCGGGCAGAGGCACATCGGGCTGGACTCCGGGCAGAGGCACATCGGGCTGGACTCCGACAGGCATCGAGCCCCCCGGCGGGGCGACAGGCTTCGGGCCCCAAGCGGAGCAGTGGGCGCCGGGCCCCCAGGAGGGGCGACAGGCATGGGCCCCCAGGCGGGGCGACAGGCATCGGGCCCCCAGGCGGGGCGACAGGCATCGGGCCCCCAGGCGGAGCGGCGGGCGCCGGACCCCCAGGCGGAGCGACAGGTCTCAGGCCCCCAGGCGGAGCGACAGGTCTCAGGCCCCCAGGCGGAGCGACAGGTCTCAGGCCCCAAGGCGGAGCGACAGGTCTCAGGCCCCCCAGGCGGAGCGGGCGGGCGCCGGACCCCCAGGCGGAGCGACAGGTCTCGGGCCCCCAGGCGGAGCGGCGGGCACCGAGTCACCAGGCACGACAGTGGGCTCCGAGTCAACTGGCAAGACTGCGGGCACCGAGCCAACTGGCGGAACAGCGGGCTTCGAGTCGTCTGGCAAGACTGCAGGCACCAAGTCTTCTGGCGGGACAGCGGGCACCGAGTCGTCTGGCAAGACTGCGGGCACCGAGTCGTCTGGCAAGACTGTGGGCACCGAGTCACCTGGCGGAACAGCGGGCATCGAGTCAACTGGCGGAACAGCGGGCACCGAGTCGTCTGGCAAGACTGCGGGCACCGAGTCGTCTGGCAAGACTGCGGGCACCGAGTCGTCTGGCAAGACTGCGGGCACCGAGTCGTCTGGCGGAACAGCGGGCATCGAGTCAACTGGCGGAACAGCGGGCTTCGAGTCGTCTGGCAAGACTGCGGGCACCGAGTCAACTGGCGGGACAGCGGGCACCGAGTCGTCTGGCAAGACTGCGGGCACCGAGTCGTCTGGCAAGACTGCGGGCACCGAGTCACCTGGCGGAACAGCGGGCATCGAGTCAACTGGCGGAACAGCGGGCACCGAGTCGTCTGGCAAGACTGCGGGCACCGAGTCGTCTGGCAAGACTGCGCGCACCGAGTCGTCTGGCAAGACTGCGGGCACCGAGTCGTGTGGCAAGACTGCGGGCACCGAGTCGTCTGGCAAGACTGCGGGCACCGAGTCGTCTGGCGGAACAGCGGGCATCGAGTCAACTGGCGGAACAGGGGGCTTCGAGTCGTCTGGCAAGACTGCGGGCACCGAGTCAACTGGCGGGACAGCAAACACCGAGTCGTCTGGCAAGACTGCGGGCACCGAGTCGTCTGGCAAGACTGCGGGCACCGAGTCATCTGGCAAGACTGCGGGCACCGAGTCACCTGGCGGAACAGCGGGCACCGAGTCGTCTGGCAAGACTGCAGGCACCGAGTCGTCTGGCAAGACTGCGGGCACCGAGTCGTCTGGCAAGACTGCGGGCACCGAGTCGTCTGGCAAACTGCTGGGCACCGAGTCGTCTGGCGGAACAGCGGGCATCGAGTCAACTGGCGGAACAGCGGGCTTCGAGTCGTCTGGCAAGACTGCGGGCACCGAGTCGTCTGGCAAGACTGCGGGCACCGAGTCAACTGGCGGGACAGCGGGCACCGAGTTGTCTGGCAAGACTGCGGGCACCGAGTCGTCTGGCAAGACTGCGGGCACCGAGTCGTCTGGCAAGACTGCGGGCACCGAGTCACCTGGCGGAACAGCGGGCACCGAGTCAACTGGCGGAACAGCGGGCATCGAGTCAACTGGCGGAACAGCGGGCACCGAGTCGTCTGGCAAGACTGCGGGCACCGAGTCGTCTGGCAAGACTGCGGGCACCGAGTCGTCTGGCAAGACTGCGGGCACCGAGTCGTCTGGCAAGACTGCGGGCACCGAGTCGTCTGGCGGAACAGCGGGCATTGAGTCGTCTGGCAAGACTGCGGGCACCGAGTCGTCTGGCAAGACTGCGGGCACCGAGTCGTCTGGCAAGACTGTGGGCACCGAGTCGTCTGGCAAGAATGCGGGCACCGAGTCACCAGGCACGACAGTGGGCTCTGACTCAATTGGCACGACAGCGGGCACCGGGTCATCAGGTACCGGATTGTCTGGCTCGACAGCGGGCATCGGGTCACCAGGTATGACAGCGGGCACTGGGTCACCAGGCATCAGGCCATTTGGCTCGCCAGCGGGCACCGCGTCATCTGGCAAGGCAGTGGGCACCGAGTCACCAGGTACGACAGCGGGCTCTGAGTCAATTGGCACGACAGCGGGCACCGGATCAGGTACCGGATCATCTGGATCAACAGCGGGCATCGAGTCAACTGGCCTAATAGGATCGTCAGGCTGGATCAGTTCATCATGCTGGGTAGAGGCATCAGGCTGAATGCAGGCGTCCGGCTGAGTAGAGGCTTCAGGCTGAGTAGAGGCTTCAGGCCGAGTAGAGGCATCAGGCCGAGTAGAGGCATCAGGCCGAGTAGAGGCTTCAGGCCGAGTAGAGGCATCAGGCCGAGTAGAGGCATCAGGCCGAGAGGCATCAAAAAGGCATCAGGCTGCGTACAGGCATCAGGCTGAGTAGAGGCTTCAGGCTGAGTAGAGGCATCAGGCTGAACCACGGAAGGCAGGTTCTCAGACGGCAGGCTCACTGGTTTGGATACTGGCAGGATGGTATTGGTTGGAAAGAATTTTCGCTTTTTTCTGGTTTTAACTACTGGAGCACTGCAAGTAAACGCAGGTCTGCAAACGAATGGAGCAGCTGGAGACAGAGAAGAGCTGGAAGATGGAACAGGAGAGGGAGCAGTTGCTACAGAGGGCTTTTTTACAGGGTTAAAGGCAGGATAGGTGCAGCGAGTGGGAACAGGGTACTGACATGCGGTAGATAGCAGGGCAGGAGGAGCTGTTGGGAATGCAGGAATAGAGCTTTGAGGAAATAGATTAGAAGCAGGACTGGGTCTTTGTAAGCTGACTGAGGCTGGGTGCAACAAATCTGTCCATGTCTGCAGTATGGGTTGAACAAAGCTGAGCTTACACAAAGCCTGTCTGACCAAAGACTGCACTGCGTTTATACAATCTCTTAGTGTCTGTGGTGAACATGTGGAATAACGCTCCAGAAAGTAACCCACATCATCCTCTAATAACCATACCAGGGACTCTACCTGGTCTGCACTAAATGGTGGCAAAAATTCATCCCTGCATTCGGGGGTACCAGATGAAACCAACTCAGCACAAACCTCAATCAATGGCTGCACCTCAGAGAACTCTGTGCCCTGATCTACTAGAACATGAGCGAGCCATATACATTCTAGCAGTTCATCCCGGGGATACTCCTTCAGAGTTTGATAAGCATACTCTCTGTCATCAAACACTAGCAGATATAAATACACAACCTCATCAAGATCCATCCTTCCCATCAACAAACCAAGATGGCTTCCCTGTGCAGCCACTTCTGGTCAGGATTGGCCTTGGTGTAATGTCAGGGCTCCCGGTGTGACCAGAGGTGTGTGACTGACGCAGGGAAACGCAGACTTCAGATATGTTATAAACAATGTAATTTATTAACACTAACAATACAAACATAAACGCAGTGCAATACTAAAACATAACACAGTGCAAACAAACCAAACCAAACCACCCACAGATAACAGTACATACAATGCAAGCGTCGTCAGGCAGGCCGGGTCAATATCATTCGGGCAGGTAGGTACAGGGGAGCAAGCGGAGAATGGTCGGGGTCACAAGCCAGGTTCAGCAGGTAGCGGGCAGCGTGGTACAGAGGGTCAGGCAGAGGAGAATGGTCAGACAAGCCAGGGATCAGAGCAGGGTCAGCAGAGAATCAGACAGGAACAGGAACAGGAAACAGGGCCCAGGAGAAACACAACACCAAGGCAGAGTCTGCAGGTCTGAATGTCCCTTAAATACACCAGTCTAATTAGTTCCAGGTGTTTGACTGGCTGCAAGGTTGAGTCTGATTGCTGGGAGCACCCGCTGGCCAGCCCTGGTACTGCAGCTCATAAGGCAGGGGAGTCCCACTATTGCTGGCCAGTCCATTCCTGACAGGTGGATTGCCCAAGATGCCCTCAAACTCCTGCTGGAGTGTGCCTTCACCCAAAAGAGAGAGGAAGGGATATAATACACAAAGTGCCAACATCCCTAACGAATACAAGGGGGGGGAAAGTCCTCTTTTTTAGTAGGACTTTAACGCTATTCATGACTATGTGGGATGTCCCAAAGCAATAAGAAATTTGAGGGGAGGGCGACACCATGATGGCCACCATCCATAATCCCTCAGAACCTACTGAGCCGTTCGTAAAACATTGCAGCCAAAGGCAGAATCCTCTGAGGCTCTGACATCCACCAGATGAAATCTTGTGAATGTGTGAACTGAAGACCATGTAGCGGCCTTGCAAATCTGAGCCACTGATGGCGGATTGCCCAAGATGTCCCCACACTCCTGGTGGAGTGTGCCTTTACCCAAAAGGGTGGGACTTTACCTTTCAAACCATAGGCTTGAATTATCAATTGTATCCAATGGAAATAGTCGCCTTGGATGCCACCTGCCCCCTCCTAGGCCCCTCTGGCAGCACAAACAGAGCATCTGACCTCCTAACCTGTGCTGTCGCCTTCAAGAAGACCCTTACAGCATGTACCACATCCAAGGTATGCAGAGATCTTTCTCTTGCTGACTGAGACGTAGGAAAGAAAAAAGGCAGAACTATGTCCTGATTGAGATGAAAACTAGAAACCACCTTTGGTAAAAAGCATGGATGAGGTTGCAACACCACCTTATCATGATGCAAAACCAGAAATGGTTCTCTGCGAGATAAAGATGCCAGTTCCAACACCCTTCTCGCAGAAGGGATTGCCACTAGAAACAACACCTTACAAATTAACAGGACCAGCGGAATCTCTCCAATAGGTTAAAATGGTGGTTTTTGCAAAACCTCTTAAACCAAGTTCAGGTCTCAAGGACACAAAGGCAACCTGACAGAAGGAGCAATACGCATCACTCCTTGTAAAAAGGTGCAAACCAATGAGTGAGACGCAATGGGCCGCTGGAAAAAAATAGCTAATACTGAAACCTGTCCCATAATGGTACCAACAGCCAATTTCTTCTGCAACTCTGTTGAAGAAACGACAGAATCCTGCCAATCACATCCTTTCTTGAGTGCCATTTGTGAGCCCACAGCCCGTCTACCGCCATCTTCACTATGTCCATGTACCAGGCCCTTCTGGGTCAGGCCGGAGCAATCAGTATCACTGGAATAGATTCCTCCCAAATCCTGTGTAAGAGACGCAGCAACAGCTGGATCAGAGGAGAATCAGTGAGAACTGGTTCCAAGGAATCACTACGGCATCTACTCCTGCCATGCAAGGGTCCCTTACCCTGGACACAAAAAAGACCGACCTTGTTGTTAAACTTGGATGCCAATAGATCTACATCTGGGCAACCCCATCCCTGGAAGACTTCCTTAAAAACATCGGATGGAAAGCCCATTCCCCTGAAATCAACTGCTGGCGACTGAGATAATTTTCTGCCAATTTTCCACACCTGGAATGAACACTGCTGACAGACTTAGAACATATCTCTCTGCTCAAGTCAGAATGTAGTTCATCTCCTTCTGATCACCTCGACTCCTTGTACCACCCTTGTGGTTGATGTATGCCACTGCTGTGGAATTGTCAGACTGAATCCCTACAGGCCAACCCTGAAGCCTAGATGTTCAATACCTCAGAGCCAGCCTCACTGACTGAAGTTCCAGGACATTAATGGGAAGAACCCTTTTCAGTGGAAGCAATGTTCCCTGAACTGTGGCCTCCTCCAGAACGGCCCCCAACCTGAAAGGCTGGCATTGGTGGTTACCAACTTCCACACTACCTTCTCCTTCCCTTCTCCAAATTGTGAGTTATCAACCACCAATTCAGGCTCTGCCACACCTCTGGAGACGGAGATATGCAGTAATCCAGGGCTGGAATCTTTTTGTTCCAAGCAGACAGAATGTACCTTTGCAGAGGTCTGGAGTGGAATTGGGCATAGGAAATAGCCTCGAATAAGGACACCATCTTCCCCAGCAACCTCATACAGAGGCGAATTGAAGGACACCTCTTAGCCTTCTTCAAATTGAAAACCTCATTCCTCAGGGCATGTTTCCCTGGAGGCAGAAATACTTTTGCCTGAACCGTTTCTAAGACCATCTCCAAATACTCCAGGCTCTGCACTGGTTCCAGGGCCGTCTTCTTGAGGTTGAGCACCCAGCCCAGCTGTTCCAGGATCTGCATCGTAAGGACATCACGCTTCAGATCTGGCACCAACCCATTTCTGAGCAAGAGATTGTTTAGATTACCTGTGACTGATACTCCCTGAGTTCTGAGTAGCCCCAACACCGGAACAAAAATTTTTGTGAAAAGTCCCTACTGCAAACCACAGAAATCTTTGGTGAGGAATGCATATCGGTACATACAGGTATGCATCTTTGATATCTCTGGATGCTAAAAAATCTCCCTCCTGTAGGGAAGCCACTACTGATCGAACCGATTCCATACAAAAGGACTGGACATTTAAGAACTGACTTAGCCCCTTGAGGTCGAAAATGGGCCTTACATCCCCATTTGGTTTTGGGACTGTTAACAGGTTTACTCCCTGAGCCAATAGACAATCGAGTGCCTGAAATAAAGCTCTTTTTTTTCTGGATTCATTTGATTTTAGAAACCAGGGAGAGGGAAATACCCGAAATTCTAGTCTGCACCCCAGATAAATCGAAATTACCCATTTGTCTTGGATTAGAACCCTCCATGCAGCCACAAAATTCAAAACTTTTCCCCCCCACCCGAACAAGTGGGGACGCCCCTTCATATAAGGAGGCAGACTTTTGCACCCAGGGCCTCCTTGGGTTTTGATTTTGAGATCTACCTCTGGAGGCTGGGGCCTTTGTTTGGTGAGAGAACTGTCTAGTAGATGAGGGCCCAGCAGCTGAAGCCCCTGACACCTTAAAAGAAGGGCGTTTGGATTTACTCTTGGAGGGTAGAAGAGTACTCTTACCCAATGAAATCGTTTGGATATATTTGTCCAAATATTCCCCAAACAGCCGTTCCACATGAAAGGGAAAACATGGCAACAATTTTTTGCAGGGCAGTTCTGCCTATCAACTTTCAGCCACAAAACCCTGTGCATGTGTACTGATAAGAGGGCACCAGGACATCCTCCAGATTTTCAGCCGAGCATTCCTCCTGCACTGATGGTCTCCCAATCCGCTTCTTGACAAGGTCATAAAGACTCTGGCAAATGCCAATAGCTGCCACAGGTGGCTGTGCAGCAGAACCTGCCAGGGAGAAGGAGGCCTTAAGGAGAGATTCCAGCTTCTTATCAGCTGGGTCCTTGAAAAACCTATACATTAGCCACAGACATGTTAAAGATTTATTCAGGGATAAAACAGCTGCATCCACTACAGGCAACCCCCATTTCTTAACAAACTTTTGTTCCATGGGGTACAAAACAGAAAACCTCTTTCGTGGAAAAAAATTTAATCTGGGTGATCCCAATCAGCATACATAATTTGCTCCAGAAGGGGATGCACCGGAAAGGCCTGAGTACTCTGTGAAGGCTTCAAAGAGCCGAAGGAAAAATAAGTTACCTCAGAGGTTTCTATCAGAGGTAGCCTGAATCCAGATTATACCATATCAATGAG